TTTGGAGTTCTTGCCTGCAATGCCAGCCACTGCTGCAGGGAGGGGAACCCGATAGCTCCTGGGTCCCACAGCCACCAGCTGCTCCAGCACAGCTCCAAGGCCTCTGCAAACCCATCTGTCCCTGGGTGTAAATGTTGATGAAAGGCAAGGTATTGTTCAAACAGTTTTATTCCAGGTTTATGGAATCTAAATTAAAACTCAAGAACACCTTTATGGAAAAAGGGGGTTACTTCCTTGCAACTGACTTAGTGGCTTTTCATCTCTCTCAGCAGGATTTTACTCTTTAAGAGATAAACAAACAATCCAATATTGACAATTAACTGTAAATAGCCAAAGGAGGAGACACCAAATTGTTTGTATAAAACTCCACCGATGGCTGGGCCCACGGTCCGGGTCAAGGGCTGCACCGAGGCACAAATCCCAAGCATAGTACCTAGGAGAGATGGCAGAGACACAGACATCAGGCTGAGGGCAAGCCTTGGGAGGGAAAAACTGAGAGGAGCATAGGTGATCCCCTTCATCCCTGATGGCATTTCCCCACAGTTGTAGCAAATCACTTCAAATAATCTCCTGCATTAATTTATAGAGGTCCAATTAGGGTTTGTTAAGGCTAAGTACTCCTGGAGGCATGGGGACTAGTTTCCACCATGAGCCAGCTCAGCTCTTTCCTGAACGACCGTAATGCTGCCCGAAAGGCAAGCTGGGGCTCACCGCCACCTTCACCAGGGTCCCAGGACAGCTTTAGCCATAGAAGATGCTTTTGAATGTTGCCGGTAACTCCTGCATAGGGTTAGGGATGGAGAAATAATTTCCAGGGTCATGTTCAAGACTTCCAAGCAAATCACACAGATATTTCCAATATCACCCAAGCTGCTATTGCCATTTGTTCTCTAGCATGGGATGGAGGAACAGCTCTTGAGGGCTTAGCAGGAGCGAGAGGCTTAGGTCTAACTAGGTCTTTAAGACTAAATAAATAAAACCACAGATAAAGACTGAACCCCCCCATTGAAATACTCCCCCACCCCTCTTGCTAAAAGAATGGATATTTCAATTTGGATGGAAATGAGAGCCCTTCGCCTGGCTGGGCCGGTTCCCTTTCCAGCATCTCTCCCATTTGCATCGTTAACAGGAACCTGGCGGACAAGGAAGCACCTCCAGTTTGGCAAAAGCAGGTTTTTTTTTCCACATACAGACGGATGGCCAGGACACCCCATGGGCTGCAGAGATAGCCCCCGTGCACCTGGCATGCTCTTTGCCCTGCAGTTTTCATGCAGGAAAGCTATCAAGCTCAGGGGAGCAGAAAATACCCGGCCAGCCAGAAAATCATTATCCCCCATCACTGTGAGGAAGAGCAAGCTGGCAGCATATCACAGAATCACAGAATCACAGAATGTTGGGATTGGAAGGGACCTTGAAAGATCATCCAGTCCAACCCCCCTGCCAGAGCAGGAACCTAAATGAGATCACACAGGAAGGCGTCCAGTGTCTCAAGAAACTTGTGCCCTGCTCTGACATGATGTTTGCAATTATTATTTTTTGAATATCAGTATGATTATTTGGGCTATTGGCATCAATTTTCCACCAAGACACGGGTTGAGGCAGCACCTGGGAAGGGTGAGGAGGATGCTGTCCTCCATGTAAGAAGATGTGGAGCCAAGAGTGATATTTATCATGGGTAGCCACAAGGAAATGATCCCCGGCTCCGGGAGAGAAGCAGCAGCCAGGTGTTCATGTAGTGCCGGCCAGCAACTGCTGGGCTTTTATCAGCATGCTTAAAATACTTGTGCAATGAGCCCGAGCCAAGGGCGTAGCCGTGCGGAGAGGGAAATCTCTGGGGAAGTGCTGCCGAGTGCTCCTCCCGCGCATGGGAACACAAAGGCGATGGGTGGGACATCGCCTTGACCCTTTGCCAATGGGAACCATCCCACAACCACCAAACTTTCTGGGCAGGTTTTGCAATTATTTTTTCCCCTCTAGGTATTTGAATTAAACTAATTACTACGTACAATTGCCAAACTGGCTCTTATGATCGAGGAGGCACTTTTTTTTTCTTTCCCCTTTTTTTTTTTTTTTTCTGGAGCAGAAATCCATCCTCTTAAAAGGCCGGGCTCTCCCTCTGCACTCCTCCAACATGTTGCCGAGAAAGATAATTTCTGTTTAATGGGCTTAAATTAGATCCCTCGTGTCAGACACCCTTGAGCTTTGGGACACTGTAAATCTTGGCTCTACAGCGTGAGTTTCTAGCTCTGTTTCAAAGCTGCCCATCTCACTTAAGGCAAGACCTTTAACTGGGACAAGTCACCATGTCAGCAGAAAAATTCCTGCGTCGCTTCATGCAGCTCTGCCAACGCACATGCTCACCTTCTTCATCACACTACCCCACTTTCTGAACCTTCCCTGCCCTTTTTCCTCCCTCCCCAGCTTTTTTCCCCCCTTTTCCCATACCTGTCATGACCCAGCTGGCCGGGAGCCCATCCTCCCCTCCTGCCCCAGCCCTCCTCTCCTCCCGCAGGTTTCAGGGTTGGGTGCTGGAGGCTTCCCAAGCCGGGCGGCTCCATCCCTCCTCCCACCCTCCGCTGAGCCGGGGCACCCCGGCTCACCCTCCTTTCCAGCTCACATCCTGTTTCCACGCTCAGGTGATGGTGCTGGCCCAGATCAGCCCCGCGCCCTCACAGCAATCATGGGGCCCGATTTAACAATTAGGTCATTGCTGTCAGTGGCCACCTTTGAACCAGCAAAGCCTGAGCAAAGCTGAGGGTTCAACACACTGAGACCCACCTGCCAAGCTCTGCTCCTAAGGTTTTGCAAATAAAATCACAAAACATGGGTCTGTTACACAGGGAAGCTCTGCTGGGCTTCCTCCCTCCTCTGTCTCCTGAGGGTGGAGGGTTCTGCAGAAACAAGACCTCCATTCTCGGGGAGGGACGGGGGTTGACAAGGAGTCCTTGTCGGGGCTACCCTCCCACCAGCTCACACACCCAGCTGAACAACATGTGCACGTGGGGCAGAATTTTCCCTTCCTGCCTTTGAAGATGAGGAGAGGAGGGGAAAAAAATAAAAATCAAAGGAATGAAATAATTTCCGCTCTGTTCCCTTCAGCGCAAAGCCCCAGCCATCAGCAACGAGCAAATGGCAAACTCATCAGCCTCGGTAGGAAGTGACCTTGGATCTGTCCTGACAGCAGGGTGATGGGTGCAAGGGATGGTGCCATCCTACGTCCCACTGTTCCCTGTCCGAAACACCTATTTAAAAGGTGAGGACAAGTGACTCAGTGTACAGCAAGGGCGGACAGGTTATCATCCTGCAACGCCCCATCCGTTCTCATCTGCAATAAGACAGACACGAGCTCAGCCCAACCTCCAGCTCCTCAAAAAGCCTCTCCCTGGCCCAAAGAAAAACCTCCAAGGGCTCTGCTGGCCCCAGGCTGGCAAAAACATCAAGAAAAGACCAGCAGTAAAGCTCAAAAGTGATATTTCCAAAGGCAAATTCCCAACATATTATTTCTTTGCATTAACTGATAGTCGTTGCAAGCTAGCGCTCAGGTTTTTGACGCGGCGACAGCAAAGCTTTTTCATAAAGCCAGATTTCCACGCTCTTAGAAACGTGGGGATTTCTGCCTCACCACCAAAACCCTGGCTTTGCAGAGCTGGCCTTGGGCTGGCATAGGAAGGAGCAGCCTTTTAGCTGCTGTACGGGTGGAGCAGCCGTGGCGGGGTGCCACCCACGGCCAGAGATGGATGGCAAGCATTTCCATAGCCACATTTCTCTGCGAGACACCCACGCCGTCACTGCTGCAGCTGCTGCGGAGAGGCAGCCCCACGGGGCG